GGATGCCAGCAAGTAACTTTCTTGGTTGCAGATTTTTACTTTTAAACAATCTAAAGACTGGTGTACTACAGAGAAAAGATTGTAAATTGCACTATATTGCCTATGACAAAGTAGCTAATATTTTTTAAATGCTGTTATATTTTTCTTGTTTATGACCCTACTGTTGTTCAGGCCATTAAAAGTTTTATTGCAAAGTATTAAATTGTTGTTGTTGTTTTTTCCTAAACAGAAAAATAATTTCAGAGATGTTCTTCTGTGTAAAAAAAGCCATTTATGGTTAGGGTGAGTTTCTGCAAAGCATTGGACTAAATGCCATATTTATACAATATGGTTCCAAAATTATCTTTATGAACAATAGTTAAATTTTAAATGCAAATTTCTGCTAGATCTTAAAAATCTTTTTGTTCATTTGTTTTTATTTATTAAGAAACTTTATATGGACACTCAACTTACTCCTGGTGATTCTGGGTATCTTACATAAGAAAAAATCCAAATACAAAACCAATCCTTTCTAGACATCATCCATAAACCTAACTAATTATCTGGGTCTCTTTACTTACTAAATGCAAAAGTGATGAAAGCTTACATAGATTAAAATCTGACATTTGTCTTTTACATTTCTTAGAACAAAGTAATTATTTAAGACATTTCTTCCTGTTAGAAAAGATATCATTTTTACCATCCATACATATACAAGATACAATATCTGAGTTAGCTGGCCAAAGAACTACATCTGTGTATACATTTTCATGTTTTAATTTAACATTATTTTGTTCGATATTTACCATATACATACAAAGCCCTTTGTTGCAGATTAGGTCCTAATATAAAAAGAAAAATTATATATGAAAGATTCATATTCAAAAGATATCTTAATTCCTAGAAAGAAAAGTTATATCATTCTGCTTTTGAGGTGGAACGTCCTGTTTAGAAAAGTGGGCAGCCAGAAGCAACTGCCAGGACCTCAATTAATCATAGAATGAGAACAATCCATTGAATAGCATTTTCTCCGTGAAGCTGAGAAAATACTGGTCTGCCTCAGGCCAGCTTGTCACATTATGGCTAGAGTAAAATTTGAAACTGGGGAATTCCAGATCTTTTCTCACACTCTCCCAACAGTTATGTCTCAGGAAAAAGTTATATAGCCAGGCTGCCAATCAAGATTCATATAGTGAGTTGTTAAAAAAAATGTCCTGATCACTGGATCAATAGGTAAGTTGTGATTTATTTATTTTTATTTATTTATTTGATTTGCCAATTGTTTACAAGATAATAAGTATAAGTGTATACATAGTTGTGAGTACATGAAATGGGTACATATAAGAAAAATAAAAGAATAAGAGAAACAATAGGACAGGGATGGTAGGCACGATGGTGCGCTTATGCACGCCCCCTACAGACCTCTTAGGAAAGGGGTGAGGTCAATAGTAGACAGTCTAAGGTTAAAGTTTTTGGGGTTTGGGGAAGAGACTATAGAGTCGGGTAGAGTATTCCAGACATTGACCACTCTATTGCTGAAGTCGTATTTCCTGCAATCAAGTTTGGTGCGGTTTACTTTGAGTTTGTATCTATTGTGTGCTCTTGTGTTGTTATGGTTGAAGCTGAAGTATTCATTGACAGGTAGGACATTGCAATGTATGATTTTATATACCATGCTTAGGTCAGACCGAAGACGGCGTAATTCAAGGTTTTCTAGTTTTAGAATTTCAAGTCTGGTGGCATAAGGTATTCTACAACGAGTAGAAGAGTGGAGAACTCTTCTTGTGAAATATTTCTGGACTTTCTCAATTGTGCTAATATCAGATACGTAATGAGGGTTCCAGACTGATGAACTGTATTCGAGTATTGGTCTAGCAAATGTTTTGTATGCTCTGGTTAGTAGTGTGATATTACCAGAGAAAAAACTACGTAGGATTAGGTTAACAACTCTTAATGCCTTTTTGGCTATGTAGTTGCAGTGGGCTCTAGCACTTAGATCATTAGAGGTGAGTATTCCAAGGTCCTTTACAGAGCTTGGGTCATCAACAAGATCTTGACTATTCAGCTTGTATTTTATTTTCTGATTTTTTTTGCCAATATGTAAGACAGAGCATTTATTTGTTGAGATTTGGAGTTGCCATTTGTTTGACCATTCAGATACATAGTCAAGGTTCCAACAGATTTCATATTTCTCCAAAGAATAAAATTCAGTTGTCATTACAAATTTAAATGCATTTTGAGGAGAAAATTATACCTTACCTTGTCCTAATAAGAGGCTGAGATCTTTTAGTAAGTGTCTAAATATGTCATACACATATTTTTGTAAACTATTGACTTCTATACAAGTATAGAATAGCTGTGTGTGTGTGCACACACATACATATATACATATATGCATACATTCACAGTATATTTGTTGCATAGAAGTCATTGGTTTACAAAGATATTTTATAAAAGTCTATTATTATGAAATAGGAAAAAAATAAAATGGTTAAATTCATAAGAGCTAGTGCCATGTCCTAATTTCACATTGAATTTATTTAATTCATATTACCTGCTAGGAGTGAATAAACACCTGGAACATTTATTACCAATTGCAGTTATGAGCAGAGGTGGTATTCTGGAGAACTGGTAGCAGAAATTTTGAGTAGTTCTGAGAACCGGCAAATACCATCTCTAACTGGCCCCGCCCCCATCTATTCCCTGCCTCCTGAGTCACAGCTGATTGGCTGGGTCTTCTTTGGTTGCCCTGCACAGGAGAACGGAAGGAATGGAGATTTTGCAGTATCCTTCCCCTGCCACGCCCACCAAGCCACGCCCACCAAGCCACACCACACCCAGCAAGCCATGCCCACAGAACCAGTAGTAAAAAAATTTGAATACCACCACTATTTAGTAGAGTCTGGATAGGAGAAGAATTCTTGTTTATTTGTTTTGCTTTAAACTGAGTATTGATTAAAGTGTTTGACTTTAAAAGTTAAAACCACAGGTTACTTTTTAAATTATGTTTCTAAACTCTCATAGATGATGTAGCTTCTGTGCTACAGGTCATATATGCATTCCAACCAGATTACATATTTAAGTGCTGAGTATATTTTAATCTGAATACAGTATGTTCAAGAATAAAAACCCTATCATTTTGACATGCTGGTTTCTTCGTTCTTTTGTATCTCTGCTCTTCATTTTAAGACACATAGAGAGCCACATATTCTTACCTAAATAATTATTTAGCAAAAATAGTAGAGGATGGTAGACCTTTGTGATAGATGATTGAATTGTATGATTTAGATTACAGCAGATCATCATATATTCAAAATAAAGGTGTACACAACATTCAGATTTTAACTTGAATCACCCTCTTCTGAGATTGCTATAGGCTATGGGCTTTTTTTTGACCTTCTTGGACAGAGACTTGGCTCTAAAGCAGGGGTTGCCAACCTTTTGGACCTCAGGGACCACCAAACTCATAATTTTAAATCCCGGGGACCACTAATATGAATTTTGACTGACGGTGGCTTGCTGAACTTGGTGGGAGGGAGAGAGAGAGAAAGAGAGAGAGAGAGAGAGAGAGAGAGAGAGAGAGAGATCTTATCTAACCTCTCTCTTTCCCTCTCTCTGTTTCTCTCTCATACACACACACACACACACACACACACACACACACACAGCGGCAGGGGTGGGATTCAAATTTCTTAATAACCAGTTCTTGGGTGTGGCCTAATTTGTGGGTGTGACTTGGTTCATGTGTCTGTCTGGGCATGGCTTGTATGTAACTATTATAAATATTTATGTAAATATTGAATTTTGTATTAAATGAGCAACTTTTACTCAAAATCAGGCAAAGCAGACAGGTAGATTGAGTTGCTCACATAATCACAGATTCAGAAATCTACCTTTCTGCCATCAGCTACCTGAGTCTGTCACATAAAATTTGCTTCAAGCAAACACATAAAATGTGCTAGCAAGCAAACTCACAAAATTAACTCACAACACACCATGTATGTAAATATTGATTTTTTATTAAAAAAAGAACAACTTTTACTCAAAATCAGGCAAAGCAGGCAGGCAGATTGAGTTGCTCACAGATTTACTTAGAGATCTGTGTTTCTGCCATCGGCTATCTGAGTCTGCATTGAATAGAACCTTCAGTCCTAAGGACTGACGATTAGCTAGAAAGCAAGAAATCCAATGATTTCCTGTTTTCTGGCTAATCTAAATCTCCCGGCACAGCAGAACAGCTGATGGTTGGGGAAAAAAAGGAAAAATAGCAATTTAGCAGGCAAGTTTGCCAGGTAAGGTTTGAGTGGGCAAGAAGGGTTCCCGCGGGCCATGTGGCCAGACTTGTGTTCCTGCACAGCTTGGATTAATTGCTTTGGGGGGGGTATGCTCTGGGGGTGACATTTCTCTGCGGACCACCAACATTTTCTCGCGACCCACAAGTTGGCAACCACTGCTCTAAATGATCCTATTTTGAACTTAGAATGTCTGATTCAAGATAAAAATGACATTATTTTGAATTTGGAACATTTTCAGGAAAGATTGGAACAATATCAAAAGACTCTCTAATAAAATTGATCCAGACTGCCTCAAACTCAAAACGCTTGCTTTAAGAAAAAGCAGGGGGTATTTTGATCTCATTTTTTTAAAATTCCAAAACATTTCCAACTCCTCAATTCAATGCTTCTTCCAAAAAACATCCTTGTTGCAGAGGTGGTATTCAGCAGGTTCTGACCAGTTCTGGAGAACCGGTAGCGGAAATTTTGAGTAGTTCAGAGAGCTGGCAAATACCCTTTCTGACTGGAGATTTTACAGTATCCTTCCCCTACCACGCCCACCAAGCCACGCCCACATAACCGGTAGTAAAAAAAATTGAATCCCACCACTGCCTTGTTATTCATGTGTGCATGTTTGTGTGTGTAATAGCCTCAGCACTCTCTCTGACATCAGCTTCCAAACTGCAAGGGTTGAAACACTGAAAAATCTTTCGTTCCATATAAAATTGTTTATCCTAATTCCTGCAGTTCCTTCAGCCAACTCAAGGCCTGGTCCACATTGTGTGAACTCACTCTTGACTCACTCCAAGATGATGTACCTGCTTTTTCTGGATGTCTCTGCTCCTACAAGACTTGGGATCCGAGCGCTTCCTATGTTCTGGGCTCAAGTCAAGTTTCTGACAGAAAAGTATGTTGCGCCCTCATTCAATATTTTTGTTTTAGCTCGTTTGTTGCTGCTTTCTCCTTTTATAGTCCACTGCTTTTTTCTTCTCTTCCTTTCTTGTAGCTTAAAGTTGAACATTGACTCAAAGATATCTTCCTTACTGGGGTAATGAAAGTAGGAAATCTTACTGGGGATTATTTCCTGGATGGGAACTTGTCCACCTTCTTCTTTTTATGAGGGTCCCCTTTATCTGGTAATATTTGTGAACAACAAGATGAACGTGTTATGTGGCCCTGAGTCAAACTAATGCCCAGCTGGGCAGTTTTTCCTTTTTTTGAACTATTCTACTGGAAACAGTTGGGTCCAAAGATAAAGGGACTAGGATTAAGGGAAGGGAAGGCATAATAGAAGGCAATATTATATCACTGCAAGTTCAAAGGATTGTAGGGAAGGCCTTGTTCACTGGCAGGTTATAAACACTGCTTTTATGTACATTATAATGTTGCTTTTAGATCAGGAACAAAATGCATTATTTTATTGCTAAAAACTTCCACTGTTTTTCCGCTTTTTTTTAGTTTACTTATTCTACGGTGAATTTCTGATATCCCTCATTTCAGATCCATGGAAGCCAGGTTGTTGAAATATGAGGTGTCAGAAGGGGGATCTCCACAGCAGAATTCTTTTTGATTTTTTGCTTAAAAGAAAAACTCCATTTTGCAGCAAATGGAGATACTGGAAATAGTTGAAGAGAGTGATTATTCTGGTACTACAACCAATCCCAGAAAACAACACATTTTAATCCTGTTCTCTACCAACTATAGTGTAAACTAGAAACAAAACCATGAAGCTGGAGATTAAGTTTCAGAGTTTCAAGCTAAATCAAAATTCTTTGGAGTTGGAAATCCAATCATAAGTTCCAGATTTGAATTAATATTGTACATTGACCTCCAGTGAGAATAAACACACTTGTCTGTCCCTTCTTAGTAAAAAGGGTGAGATAAAGATTGCCTCTTTGTTTTGTATGTTACTCACTAAATATCTTAGCTGCACTTAATTTAAACATCAATAAAGAGTAAATAGATGTAAATTACTATTCTTTCCTCATTATCCAAGTTTGCCAACTCCAATAACCATTGTGCCAGACTGTGACCTTGTAGCTTTCCTATCTTATGCACAATATTAGTTCTCTAAAAGAGGAATCCAAGGTGTGCTTAACTGCGTGTAAATTCAGATAGCTATCTTTTAAATATGATTGTAGGGTTACATCCTCATCTCTGTTTAGAATTCATGCCTGTAATCATGAATAGCTTTTCCCCTGTGTGTAAAATATCGTGACCATATGTAAATCTACTGTGAGCACCATTTTGCTCTGATCCATAATTAACATCTGTATTCTTCAGCATCTTTGGATATGGAAAAATTGGTAAATGGACTGGGAGACCAATTTTTCAAAAGTGAAGGGTTCCTGAGAGAAGTATTAAAAGGGCCATTGCTTATTCTCCTATAAACTACTCTGAGAGGGTAGAAGGCCCACACATGTAGCTGCCATATGCACAGCCATAATGCTGCTTGATTACATGATAGAGCTTTTTAGCAACAAGAAAAATCCTGAATTTTGACAAATTTTGGCACAATGCTTATGGCTGAATTTGTGTGAGTTTACGGGTGCTCTTTGGAAAAAAGATCAGCTGCTCCTTTTTCAAGTCTCTTGCCCAGAGTTATAACTAGGGAAACAAGTAATGTGCACTTTTTCAGGCTTATAATTGAAGCAAGACACTTAGATTTATATTATTGAAATAATGGAAAGCTTTGTTATAAATTATGAAGTCAAATACACTCACATGTATCTATGAGATTGTTTGGAATAGTAGATAAAGCACCAGATTAGAATCCAGGAGTCTGTGAGTTCTAGACTTGCCTTAGGTTCAACGAGCTGGGTGACCGTGAGGCAATCACTCTGTCAGCCCTAAGTAGAAGATCATGGCAAATCTTTGAAAACTTGCCAAGTAACCTGCAGAGACTAATCCAGGCAATCACCAGGAGTCAACATTGACTTGAAGGCAAAAATACACACACAGATACAGATTAAACAGAGCTGGAAGGGACTTTGTAGGTCATCTAGTCCAACCCCCTGCCCAAGCAGGAGACCCTACATCATTTCTGACAAATGGCAGTCCAATCTCTTCTTGAAAGCTTCCAGTGATGAAGGTCCCACTGGAGCTTCTGAAGGCAACCTCTGTTCCATTGGTTGATGGTTCTCACTGTCAGAAAATTTCTCCTTACTTCTAGGTTGAATTGCTCCTTGATCAGTTTCCATCCATTATTCCTTGCCTGGCCTTCGGGTGCCTTGGAAAATAGTTTGACCCCTTCCTCTCTGTGGCAGCTCCTCAAATACTGGAACACTGCTATCATGTCTCTCCTGGTCCTTCTCTTCACTAGACTAGCCATACTGAGTACTTGCAACCGTTCATCCTATGTTTTAGCCTCCAGTTCCCTAATCATTATGGTTGCTCTTCTCTGCATATAACATACAAACATACATACATAACACACACACACACACGTGTGTGTGTGTGTGTGTGTGTGTAACATATGCACTCATATACATTCATGTATATATGTTTATGTATATGTATGGCCTTCAGCTTATGAATATATATACATTCAGTTTATGTATATATATACACATACATACACACACACAATTACTCACATACACATAACCAATTGTTTGTGATGGCGCTGTGAAGTGGAATCTTAAGAGTGTTTCCTAGGAATGGGAACAAATAGATCTACAAGCACATTTCAGTCCCTTTGGTTAAATTTCTGCGCTGTTACGATTGATGCTGAAAAATCTCCTTGTAAATGCACAGAAGCTTTGCCCTGGAGATGCGAAAGTGTTATGAAATTCTGATGCTTAGCTCAGGTGCATAGAATTGCATTATGTGGAACATAATGTTGTGAAACAGAATAACTGAGCATTCAATAAAATAATATTTCTAACAGCTGGCACATTTTTTTTTGCTTGGTCTTGCTTTAAACATTGAGCTATTTCCAGATGAACTGCCAGTATCTTGCTTGCTCTAATTTTGGCAAGCATAACTAGCTGGGCTTGTTTATTAGCCTGCAATATTTACATGATTTTTATCAAAGGTGTATCATTTTCTCTTTAAAAGCAAGTATTGCATTCTGTTTTAAAGTCAACTGTTTTCTAGGCTTCCCCATCAATTTCCTCCTACCTGAAATACATTAAATACTACAAAGAAGGATGAAAGACTCATTTATGGGCAATTTGTCATTCAGTTACATTTCTGCCTCAACTTTATGTTTGTTCGTTTATTAAAGCATGAATTTTGTACCTAAACTTGTATTAAAAAATTAGAAGGTGCTGCAGTACTAATAGATCCACTCCTGTGTTCATTGTTACAATGAAGCATTGAAAGTAGAGGTTTTATTATTTCTGGAGGTAGATTCATTACATTTTGGTCTGTGTTTTCAAAAAAGTACTGTATTAGCTAGTTTTCTAGAAATCCCCCCCCCCCCCCCCATTCCAGTAGACTTACCAATGAAGGCTCATTTAAGCAATCTTGATATTATCTCTCTTGGATGAGTTCATCAATTCTATCCCACCCTAGTTTTCACCTATTCATTCTTCCTTTACATTTAATTTGCAATTTGATCCTCATTAATTTTCACCTCATGTCCAAAGAGCTCCATATCTTCTTGTTCTTAGGCAAAATGCTCCCACCCACCACCCTCCCCCAATATTCAACCTACTTTATTTTTCTTCTTATACATCCAACCCTCACTTTTATAAAACTAATTGGTTAGCAGCACGTCCTTCAATACAGCCATTTCACTGCTTTCACGGTTCATGCTTGTCGGTTCTTTTAGCTAATACCAGAGCAGGAAACAGTTCCCATAACTGGAATGGTACAGGTAGTCCTTGACTTATGACTACAATGGAGCCCAGAATTTCTGTTGCTAAGTGAGACAGTTGTTAAATGAGTTGGGTCTTCTTATATACAGTATAAGAAAGAGACCTTAAGTTCAGTAGGAAAGATCATGCTAGGTCTGTAAAAAGTTCATTCCCCAGCAGCTGTATTATTACATGGGATAATGTAATATACTATTGATTTTTAAAAAAAATTAAGCTCATAAATGCATTTATTCAGTTTTCCTACAATCACACAGAAGTTGTTTACCATTGTCTTCTGATTTCCTCACCTAATTTACATCCTTGGAGGCCTTTCATCTATCCAAATACTAACCAGGGATGATCTTGCTTAGTTTTTGAACCCAGGCAACATCTGCCAGGTGGTGCCATTACTAAAAAAGACGTCTGTCTGAGACCCTTGAAAGTCACTGCCAATCAGACCTAAATGGATAGGGATTGGACGGACAGCCAAAAAACCCCCAAAACCCTAGATGGCTGTGAAGAAATATACTCCTCCCCTTTGCTACCATGTTGTGGTCATTTGGGGTACTTTGGTCCAGATACATCTAGATTATATCCTTGTCAGATAAATAATATTCACCATCGTTTCTAAAGGTGCTATAATAGTCACATTGGTCTTTATCTAAATAAATTTTCTGCAAATATAAGTGCATAGTTAATTTCTGTACAAATATGCTCAGCATCTGGCAAAAATTTCAAGGTGAAAAACTAGACAGATGGCTAATGTAATGTAAGCAATTTTTGTTCTGATAATACCTTTGAATTAACACTTTAACTGAATATCCAGCAGTTGCTACCTCTTCTGATATCTGCAGGGAAATAAGTGCCTATTTAATCCTTTTACAAAAAGCAAAACAATAATTGAAATTTCATATAGCTTTTTTTCCAGTTTGTTAAATAGCATAAGCAAGTGGATAAAAAAAATATTAGCAAGATAAAGTACACAGAACAAATCAACTATAATTTCAGCTACTGATAAACCTTTTGCAAACTATAATTTGGGACAAAATCTGGCCTTTTTTTCTTCTTCACCTAGAGTGTCTTCTTTCATCCCTTATTTGAAGAAGGGAATATTCAAGGTTTCAGCAGATAAAGACAGACTTACAACACAATCTCAGTATAGCAGATGTGTACACAGAATGGAATGTATTCTTAAGGAAGGCAGTTGACATTATAGCAATTGTTAATTCAATGTTGTTATCCCCACAGTGTCAGTCAACAACCTATCTACTGCATTTACTTTCAATGAAGCCGGTGTTCTCTAGTGCAGTGTCATTAAAACTGTTGAAGTAGGACTGGAGAATGTTAGAAGTGTGATTTCACTTGTGCTGACTCTTCAGCAGCTCATAATGTACTGACCACAAGGGGCAGGGTAGCATCGATTAGAGAGCTAGGAATTGCTTCTGTGTTCCTCAAATTATTTTTCACTCAGCCGGCTCTTCGCCTGTGAGATTTCTATTCTCAATATGCTCTCTTCCTGCTCCTCTCTTCCCCACAAATCTATTCTGTCCTTGACAAGATTTAGCTAGGTAGACTTTGCCTCTTCTACCCTTCCTCAGATATTTCTCCAAATAAACCTTTCTGTTGAAGTTACAAAGAGCTGCTTCATGAGTCCTTGCTCAAGTTAGTTTTCTGCTGTCAAGGAATATACAAAAATGCTTTCTCCAACAGAGAAGGCCTGTCTTAAATCTCCATTCACCTATGCAGCTCATTGGGTGACTTTAGATCCACAATTATGCCACATTGCATTGTCACATGGGACTTGAGTAATGGCAGTAAAGAACTGTGAGTGCTACTATGTACTTCTGGATAAAAGATAGGTCATAAATAATATTTATTGTAAAAACATCTGGAAAAAATGCAGGTATCTAGGTAGTCTAAAGTAGTTTGAAAATATATTAAATATAGATACGGTTAGGACTTACTTAAGAGAAAGTTGAGAAAGGAAGTGTCAGAAGATTTATTCTTGAAACATTGCCAATAGTCAAAAAATCTATAGAGATTCTTAGTCATCCAGGTCATGGTTGTCCCAAAGGTG